GAAAATTCAGGTTTGTAAAATCCTCAATATAGCATTCTTCTTCTTCTCTTCTCGACTTGAAACACACATGTTAGGCAATAGTCACCATATTAACTTTTTTGGAACATCAGACTTGACGTAAGAAGGTCCTGTAAGTCCTACTCCTTAAACGTTTTTGCTGTGTAGACTTCTTTGGGCGGCACAGAGTCGTGCTTGTGATCCACTTTACAAAAACGTTACCGTGATTCCGTTCCGCTTTTTATGGTCGACATCGAAAAACGAGTCGCATTCGACGCGGCTAGCAATATAAATCAAGTGCAGGCATTAATAATCAGTCCCTTCCACCAAAGCCAGGATGCGGACATATTTTCGGCTGGCATACACAAAGGCCTGGGGAGGAAGAGACCCCAAACGGTATTTGTGTGAACTTCTGGGCTTGAAGTAGTAGCCGGTTGCCTAAAAATACACTCATATTGATCTATCTTGTTTGAAAAAAGTTCGTACGGGCATTCGCCGGGTTCGGGTGAAATTGAATTTTACGAAATTGCTCTAGTTTCTACTTATATGCAATTTAGTAAACGAAACGCGCGAATTATTACTCGTTTGAGTAATAGGTAAATATATATATATATGGCCACACGTTCGCGCATTCATAATAGTAGAACGGAATTTATAGGTAGGCACATGTATCGAAAATGACTGCAACTTGAACATAAGTGTAAGCTATGACGGTTGCACCAGATGAAGTACGGATATCAAGCAGAAAAAACCCAGTACGTAAACATCGTTTGACAGACTATAACTTAGAAGATGGTGTTTTTCAGTTGATCAAAAACATATTCTTCATTGACATTGGTTGTCGAATTTCATTTCTTTGGGATTAAGATTTGTGTTTCAATGAGTATTTAAATGTAAGACGGACCATCATCTACATGAAAAAGAACGCTCAAGCACTCATTTCTTCGGTACTTGCTTTCCAGGTACATATTATTTTATAACATATCACAGAACCTCTATGAGCAAGCGATTGAAAGTACTAAAAACAAATGAGTATTAATTGATGTTTACGGGAAACTGTGAAACTTAACGACTCCACCGTCAACGAAGCCCACATATAAATTTGGAGTAAAATGATTCTATTAATTTACGCTCAATGATTGGCTTACGATTGTTCACAGGGAAAGGCATTTTGCAGTTCTCAACTCTTCTTATGTGACGCACATTTTCGCTTTTGCGTCATTTCTACCGCTAGCCAGACCCACATACACATTTGATGGAAAAAATTACTCTTTATAGATACAAAAAGGGGCATGCTCACGATTGCATCTGCCAATTCCATTTCAATTTATCGGTCACTGACCGGCCTGCCAAAATGTTACCCTAAGAAAGGTTTTATTCATGTAACGTTGGCATCATCAAAAGCCAAATGAAATCCTGTTCTTATTATTCAACTTAATCTCGGAAGATTAAAAAAACTGGAAAAATATATCGACTTCTCAAAAGGCACTTTTCGATACATGACCGACCATAACACACTTCACAATCTGCCAGCCTTCATGTGACGTTAAGTCTCGGAGGATATTTGATGAAAGTGTATGCTAAAAAATTGTAAACGTAATGCCGACTAGACAGTTTTATTTAGTCATTTTTTTGCACGAAGGAGCATGCTGTACTTGAATCTGTCCATGTGACACGAATTTTCGGATTTTGGAAATTTTCGCTATTCTTAAGAAAAGTGTTGTCCATTTCAACGAACTAGTATTTGCAATGTTTATTTGTATGCTTTTATTTATTTGGCAGTCGTTCATTACTAGTTGGGCGTTCTGGTTAATGTGCTGCCAATGGTTACAGACTGGTTTGCGATTTTTCGTAAACTTATATATATATTTTACCAGTTAGATCATACCCTGTACTGTACAAGCGGTATTTATCCATCCCCTCAAAATCAGTAATGGTATGTCAGGAATGCTTAACTCCGTAGGTGGTATGAAGTCATGTCAATGAGAACCTTTTGAGAATTGGCTTGACATGACTGAGGGTGGCCAAGGTAGTGAACTTGGCAGGAACCACACCGACCAACACCAACCACCGAGAAGTAAATACTTTCTTCAGTTGACCCAATTGTGAAAAACGCGCGGCCTCGGTGGAAGTCGAACCCACATAACAGGAAAGGCTTTTGCACAGCCAACGCTCCAGCATTTAGCAATTATTCCATACGATCAGAAGGTTGGGCGGGTAAATCGATCCAAGGAGGAGGAGGATTAAATGACCCAAATCAAACACATCTCCCTCACGCTTGTCCCCAAATGCGGATAAGTATTTAATAAGGTGAAGAGCGTATAGCAGGGTTAGTAATATTCTACAATGTCTAGGTCCCCTTGTCTGGAGTGCTTCAGCTGACGGCCCGAGACACAGTGCTCTGTGGAACACCTCTCTCCCCCCTTCCGTGGTGGACAATGTAGGAGTTAAAGGGCCTGGTGACTGCCTTGCTCAGCATTCAGCTAACACCCCCTGTTCGCCAAGCAAAAAAGGAGGAAGAGGAGGAGGAGGTCTTATCCAGATCTAATCTACCCTTGGAAACCGTCGGAAATTCAATAGGTTTGCTATTGTTTTGGCCGACGAAACTGCTGAAGAAGCGCAACCACATCATTGCTCAGTCGCTTGGCATACAAAACAACTGACTTTTAGGAAGCAATTGCCAAAACTCAATTTAAGACAGTTATAAGAAAATAACGAGCCTGGTCCAAATTAGCCGGCTTAAACTGGAGAAACGTTTGCTAAAAAACAAAGAACCAACCTCGGGCTGCCCGGGCAGTGTTCAGTAACATCTCCGGTGGTGGAGACTCTGGTTCAAAACCCCAAGGATCGTAGGGCCGACTCCCTCTGGGTTTGTGACGGGCACAGGAGACCAGGGCCTCCATGACTTCGCCCAGTTGATTTTCAGCATAGGAACGGAAGTCGCGTCGATGATACACGCTTGGTCGTTCTGGAGGCGGATGGTTTTCAGAGTACTCTGTGTATGCAGCTGGAGTACCTAGGGGGTAGAAAAAAATGAAAGTGGCCTTAATAATTAAAATGACTATAAGCCATAGTGCATAGCAGAACAAAAGCTTGGCTCGTTTTGCGTATAAATCAAGTTATGTCAGTGTCGGCGTCTCGGAAGTGCATCCAGTCCGCATTGACTAAAAGCGAGAGAATCATTGGTTAAGATCGCGGCACCTGCTGCCCCTACAGTTATCTTTTTTTTCGAGGCGCTTTGTAGTGTTAATTGCGAGAAGGGAGGAGAACAGTATGGAGCACTTTAATGAGGGCGGAAATAACGACCACGGAAGTTGATCACACTTGCGACGAAGAAGAATACTGCCCTTTCACGCAAATATACATATTAAATGTTGGTCTCCGCTTATAGACCGTAGCTATTAATTTCCCAGGGAATTTAGAAATAGCAATAAATGGATAAAAAACGTCGCCAGAAACAGCAGTTATAGGCAGGAAATAAACTCTGCAAATAAAATGAAGGACTTCGGATAAATACGACCATACAACTTACGCCGTATAGCTCTTGGCACGTTGGCCCAGTCCTCCTGTTGGTCATAATATGCCGCTGTTGGTGATAGCGGAGTGGTCTGAAATGGCTGGTCATCGTCACGACGATATATTCCGCCTAAAAATACAAGCGATTACTCGATTGCTTAATTTAGCGATGGAAGAAAACTGGGTGTGGAGGAGGGGGGGAGGGAGGACAAGCAGTGCAAACGATCGCCATTGCCGTGACGGAATTTCGCAAACGTACCGGTCAACAAACGTTTTAAACAAGGCAGCAATTTTTCAATAGCACCAACTTTAAGGAAAAATGATTTGTCCCATACAAAGAAGGTGAGCGCGCGATTAGTGAGACAGTATGTGTGTTAGTCTGAGCTTTCGGTTTCTTACTGGAGACCATCATTCGGGTCTGTGGGCGTGCAACAACAAAAGAACGATTTTTTATTTCCAACAAAGAGGACGGAGGGGGAAGGGGGAGGGGACGGCGTTTGTGAGACCACGTCGTTTCAGGACGTACGTCTTAGACTAGGAACCGGGCCGCGACTCTTGACGGCACGAACGGAGCGCATGATAACAAGGGGGGGCGGGTGGCT